TTTTCTATCTTTCTCTAAAGCTTATTATCCTGCAGATTCTGGGTGACCTGTCCAACCAGTACTGTCCATAAGCCATGGCTGGAGGAATGAGAGCTCCATTTTTTATATCCTGTCTGCCGTGACTGGCAGCATAGAGTTTGTTACAGAAAATTGAAGAATACAAAAATAAGAAATGTAACACAAATAACACATTGTCATGTTATTGTTACATAGTGCACAGAATTTTAGACTACAAAAAGAGATAAAATGGAATCTGTGCATGAAAACAGACTATTGACATCTTGACATAACATATCAAACGACAAATATAGACCTTGAAAAATAGCAAAGAAGACGAGGAGAAGTGAACTCTAGTCACCTAAAGTGTCATTAAAAATAATATAGAATTGGGAATATTGTCGCCTAATGCAGTCAAGGAGTTAAGGGTTATATAATTCATAATTTCTGCAGTTTTTCCCCATGTCTACAATATCACATATCAAAAATCCAGGGAAAAATCTACTGCTGACACCAAAAATGAAATCTGTTCTACAAGAATCACACAAACAACCTGTGTCATCCTCATTTCTGAGAGGTAGGAGCTGTCGGCATATGACGTCCTCCTCCTCTTCTGACTCGAGACCGGAGTGTCCTCCGAGTCCCCATTATGGAGGGCTTCTAACTTGCGCACCGACATGTTGACAGTTTTGCTTTAACCAATCCTCTAGGCCTGAAAATTAAGAAAAAAAATAAGTGATCTGCTGCCTCTCAACCCCTACCCTAGACAACAAAGATAACACCACATGCTTACAGCAGGAGAGAGTGTAAATGAGACTTGGAAATGGGTGCTCCCCTATGTCAATCATACACTCTATCCTACTGTGAATAATGGTGGATTCTTTGTCTTCCAGGACGGCAAGGATTCAGGAGCGGTAGACTCCAAGGTTGGGGGGGTGGCACAGCCCCCTGCATTAGACAATATTTTGACATATTTTGTACATGTTATTCATATTCTGCACAGCAATTTCCCTGGTACTCTTCATGCCTCCTTATATTATCAGGGTCAAGAATGTGGTGTTTTGGGGGAGTTTTGTCCAAATGTCCAGCATATATGTGTAGTAAAGGTTTAATGGAATTCATCAATACCACTATCATTGTGATCAGTCATGCAAAGGTATTCTGAGGTATTCTGAGCAATGAGAAAAGAGAGTAAAGAAAAATTCATGTCATAGGCTGGAATCTGTTATTCTGTATATGTACTAATAACATGTTACATTGATTTTACACATTATATTATGGTGTACAATCTACAATGTCTATCTTGCCAGAATACATATGTAGAGGTTTGTTAGCCTTTAGGAAAGCATCTAACCAGTGGTTCATGCAAAAGTGTCTCCTAAAAATTACCCCCCAAAATTTAAATATCTTTTTCACACACAAAAAATAATCAGGCCTTACAGTAAACAATTAATAGAATTGATAGAGTAATGGAATCGAAAACCTTTTTTTATCTACAACCTTCCCACCACAAGCTGAAAATACAGCTATCTCTTACAGCAAGTTATGTATTTAGCGTTAATGTTACTAAGAGCGACACACACTCCAGAGTCCCAAACCCAGGGTATCGTACAAACCCAAAAACCCATACGTAGTCCTACCTTTTATTTCTTCCCTAGAAAGGGGAACAAACCCACGTTACCCCTCCCTTTATTAGCACTTTCCGAGTCAACGAAAATATGACACTGGGAACTCAGGCCGAGTGAGGGCGACATACAGCAGATATTTCCACCGTTTCACCATAAATACAAGGACACTGCAGAAGTACCTTGTTTATGCAGTCACAACTACCGCTTTCACATTCATCAGATAACATTTCAAGTGGATTTGAATAAAACAAAATGTAATCACGGAAAATTAGGATACAGATATGGGTATGCTGATGAATGCACGGGCAGGTATACTGATGGACAGATGCTAAACAAAACTTTGGAAATTACATTAATGTTTTTGTTAGTAGTTATGAGTGAGAAAGATATCCATGTTCAGAACCTCAATTTGTAGGACATATGACAAAATTTCCCTAAATATCCGTTTATTACACAACGGTATTATTTTTCTTGTCAGTGGATGAAAAATAAATAAAACTTAACTATTTTCGTACATAAAGCGAGTACTTATATTGACAAATGTCATAATATCTGACAAGAAAGAAGACGAGATCAAAAGAGTCACCTTCTCAAACGCCCTGACCTCGTCAAAACAAAACAAACAAACAACCAAAATAAACAAACAAACAAAATAAACAAACAAATTAAATAAATTCTTTACGAGCTTCATTCCAGATTTTAATCGAATTCAAAATCCCTTTCCCGCAATCCTCTCAATCTCGCCTAAATCCTACGCTCTCCCACATCTATTCACTACAAATCCACTTCCCAAACGTGATCTACTTAACGACACGACTTACTAATACATCTTCACCAACGCGAATTCTTCATTTTTTAGGTAATTTTCCCTTAAA